ATAACCACTACACATTCTCGATTGGGTTTAAATCTGGACTGTAACTGAGCCATGGTAAGGTTTTGATGTTGGTATTCTGGAGCCACTGGTTTATTATATTTGCAATGTGAATAGGACAATTATCTCGTTGGAGGATAAAATTATTTTCTGGATATAACTGTTCTACACAGGGAAACATGATGTTTTATAGAATATCCAGATAAGTCTGCCCAACAAACCTGGCATCAATAAAATTCATCCCCATACATTGGCACTAAAATGACCAGCTGCTCGATATCTATCAGAGAGAGGAATTAAAAAGAAAACACAGAGAGGATTAAATCTATTATTATCTTGTCTATACACTCCAATTTTGCCCTTTTTAGAAGATTGAAAAATTTTCTCATCTGTAAATATTACTCTGTCCCAAAAATCTTGATTTTGAAGCTGGTGGTTTAAAGTAAATATAAGTCTTAATTGCTTCTGTTTTGGTATAAGAGCTTGTTTTTTTTGCTGCAGTTCGGTACCTAAGATGCGATGCTTTATTTTGCCAAGTCATTGTCTTTCTTCCCGGAAACTGTGACATAATTCTTGCAGTTTTAATTTTCAAAAGGACTCTCTTCTAATTTCTTCAAAAGCGTACAATCTTAAGTAGCGGTAGATATTTTTGATCTTTCAAAACCTTGCTTTCTTTCGAGAGTTTGTTGTTCTCATCATCTTTTATTAATAATAGAAACTGTTCTCCTGCTTACATTAAAATGGTTCGCTACGACAGATAGTGACCAACCATCTTCTAATTTTGTTACACTTCTTGCTTTTAGTTCTTTGCTAGCATGTAAACCCATTTTTTGAGATTGAACAGAATAAATTATCTAACAAATTTTAAGATTTATCAGTGATAGTGACGGTATTTAAATAATAAGTATTTATCAAATGATCATTCCTATTCTTGTCATAACGAGGCTGCTAGTTCATTTAACGATCCTGTGCCTTTTGTTCCCGCCTTACCAAAAACCTTGACAAATAATGTCTTGCTAGCTACATGCACATTCTATGTTCTTGATCGTTTTGGTAAAACCTCGGAAGTTAGAGGTTTGTTAAACAATGCGTCTCAAGCTAACTTCATTAGTAAAGAATGCGCAGACAAATTAATTCTTCCCAAATTGCCGCTTTCTCGATACAGGGTCTTGATAGATTGTGCAGTTTGGCCAAATCAGATGTAAAATTGAAAAGTTATTCGCCGTCTTATGACATAAATTTTCATTGTCAGGCAGATACACTAATTCTTTCTTAAATCTTACAAAGCATGCCAACTGCTCATCTAGTTAGAATCTATGGAGAGGGCATCACGTGACCAAAAACGACCTCACTTCGGCCATATTGTTACGATCGTTTTGACAGATCGTGTATGATCGTGTATTAATGTGTTTAAATTTGTTGTTTTTCGAATATTTTTAGTTTTATAATACTTTTATAGAAACTGTAATATTATATTGTGATAGTGAATAATAATGGTTTCTTATTCTCAACGTAGTTGCAGTAACACACGCAATGTTAATAAAAAATTTTCAGGAATACCGTTCCACAGGTTAGTATATAAATATGTAAACAAAGTAATGGCCAGTACTTCAGAGAATAAATTAATAGTATTCATAAAAAATCTTTCAGTTTTGATTAATTTTTCAGTCATTATTGAATATTTTGAAAAGTTTCCAAAATAACAATTAAAAGATCCACTTTCAATAAAATATAAGTAATGAATACACAGAATATAAAGATACTAATAAACAATTTGTAAGCTGTTTATAATATTTTTTAGTTCAATAATCAAATTTTTTATTTAAAATAGAAATTTGTTATTAATACTTAATGATGCATATAATTGTATTTTTAGGTTTTCAAAAGAAACCAAATAAATATAGTGTTTTATGTTCAAAACATTGTTTAGAAAAAGATATTGATAGAACCTCACTTTCTTCTATTCGTTTGAAAGACACTGCTGTTCCAATAGCTTATATCACACAGCTAATATATTATAGGTAATATATGTGATTATCAAAATGGATTCAGACCAAATAGAGCCACTACAGATAACATATTCATACTAAGAATGATACAAGAAAAAGCTTATGAATACGACATAGACCTATATAATATGTATATGGACTTTAAACAAGCTTTTGATAGCGTGAAAAGAGACAGAATGCTGGAAGACCTTAGTAATCTAGGTATACCTAAGAAATACATCAGCCTCATAAAAATGACGTTGCAGGGTTCAAAAGCCGCAGTCAGAGTAGATGGAGAAACAACTCTCCTGTTTAACATCAACATGGGAGTAAGACAGGAGATGCCCTATCAACCATGCTATTCAACCTAGTTCTTGAGGCAGTCATCAGAAAAACCAATATAACCGGCCATATAAACACCAAATCAGTACAAATTACTGCATATGCAGACGATGTAGCCATCATTAGTAGGAATAAGCCACGACTAATGGAAGTGTTCAAACAAATTGATTCTGAAGCAAGAAAAAGAGGTCTCAAAATAAACGAAGCAAAAACAAAGTATATGACAGTCAAAAGAATAAATGACAATGAAAATAAAATCACAATAGACAACTATACTATCGAACGAGTGGATGCCTTTACATATCTCGGCACAGAAATCAATCAGAAGAACTCCGTAAGTAGCGAAATTAAACCACGTATTTTCAGTGGGAATCGTACATACTATGCTAATAAAAGATTGATGACATCGAAATTATTAGACAAAAGAACCAAAATGACTATCTACAGAACACTGATTAGACCCGTAGTAACCTATGGATGTGAAACTTGGGTAATGACGAAAAAAGATGAAGCTCAACTCAAGACATTCGAGAGAAAAATACTGAGGAAAGTATATGGCCCGGTACAAGAGGAAGATGGCACATGGAGAATCAGGAGAAACGACGAGGTTAATGAGTTTAATGAAGGTTATGACATTGTAAGATTTGTGAAAAGTCAAAGACTGTCATGGCTGGGACATGTGCAGAGACAAAACGATGCAAAAACAACAAAGAAAATGTTACAATGGAAGCCCATAGGAAGGCGAAAAAAATTTTTCTAACTTTGTTTATTGAACTAAATTTTTAAGTGTCAGTTAATTTGTAGTTATCAAATATATAAGTTGTAGAACGAACGTATTTCTTTTATTTCATACTGTATATTCATTTTACTCTTTAAAATATTTTTTATATTATTATCACTTTCAGATACAACTTGTTATTTGACTGTATTAATTTATCCTTATGTATAATATATCGTGTTTTTAGTGTTTACCGCAGGATAAATAAATCATTGTCTATTAAAAATGTATTGTACCTGTTTAGATTCTGTTTAAATCTTCTGAATAACTAGTCATATTTGTATAGTAGTTTTAATATTATTGAGTCTGGCCCTCATCCCACCGCCATATTGGTATGATCGTTAGCCACACCTACTGACGCCGTTTTTAATACACACGTTAATATGCTCATAGTTTCTCCATAGATTCTAACTCGATGCATTTGCCCCAAATTCCTTAGACAACTTATCACATCTTGAATATTTAAAGTTTGCTAATAAAATGGGTAATATTCCTGGTAGAGTTGAAATTCTAGTAGAAGCAAATATTTTTCCTTATATCTTAACAGGGGGAATTATTAAAACCTGGATCACTTAAGATTCAGTATTCGAGCTTTTTTAAAAGTTTTATAGATAATAATTATCTAGTATAATGCTTTTTATCTACACTATCATTGTATTTACAAAAAGTCCAGTACTACGCCAGTTCGCACTGTATTTGATACTTTCGCACAAACTCCACTTTGTCTTTACCTTATTCGTATACACCTTATTTCCAGGTTAAAAATTACAAAATGATCTTTGTAAAATAATTGCTTAAATTCAGGTGTTCATAAATACGTCTTCACTACAAATATTAAATCCATGTTTACGTAGATTCTTTTTGCTTCTAATCCACAGAGATTTCAAAGAATACTTTGGCGTTTTTCGGAAACGCCTACATCTCTAAGCTTCTTGTACAAAGCGAAATATCTTAAGCAAAATAGCTCGCGTATTCAATCCTTATCGTATTCTTAATCCTATAACTTTGATAGTAAAGACTACTATTTAGCATTTTTGGTTACTTAATTTGATTTAGATTATGATGCAAATCCACCTTTGGAAATTATTTCAAGGTGGGAACAATTTAAAATTGAACTTCCTATACTGTCTAAATTTTCTATACCTCGTCATATTTTTTTAAATAGACTTGTTTTCTGTGAGTCGTTATGATACAGGAGTCACATAAACTTTTTTTTTTTAGCCCGAACACAGATGTCTCCTACCAGGGTACAAACTACTTCTCGTCTTGAGTTCAATACAGCAGTAATTCTTAGTAAATCAATATCCTATATAGAGCAAACTGTAACTATCCCGTTTAGTAGAATTTAAGCATGGTTAGACTCAACTGTTGTTCTTAATTGGACTAATTCAGAGACATATAAATGGAAAACTTTCGTTAGTAACAGAATTTCTTAAATTAAAGATATGCTTGTTTCAAAACACTGGCGATATATTCCTTCTGCATTAAATAGTGCAGTTAATAGTAGTTAAATGAATCCATGCCATAACTTGAAGAAAAAGTGATAGTTTTGAATCTTAGTATATCAGTTTCTCTTAAATTAAAGAAGAACCATTTTAGGTGGGTGGTAAATAAGTCTTTTTTTTTTCTTATATATTTATTCTTTTTTTTTCCTCGAAGGATATCTTGGTGTTGACACTTGGTGTATAGGTATAGGTATACTTGGTTAATAAAGAGTCTGTTGCCTTTGGGGTCGAAGTTATGCACTTCTTCTCATATTATTAATCTTTTAGTAATTCTAAAGGAAAAGTTCCATAATGTTAAAATAATTACTATACCAAACATTCACAAATGTTTTATTTAGTCAAACAGGTCAAAAAACAGGTAAAACATTTTTAAAAATTCAATATAAAAAATCACATTCCAAATATTTCGCATTTGATGCCGAGCTGCAAAAAAAGAAAAGGATTAAAAATAGATAAGAAAATAGTTAATAATAGTAAATAATAAGTAATATTATGTTACAATATTAAATAAATTATAAATTAAAAGGCCATTAAATTAACTTTTTTTTTTGAACCTATTCTCTATCCTTCCATTGTTGGATATAGGTCTCCCCCAGTTCTCTCCCTCTTTCCCTATCTTGAGCTGTTCTCTGCCATGTGGGACCTCCTTGTTTCCTGATGTCATCTTTCCACCTCATCTGTGGTCTGCCTCTTGATCTCTTTGCATTGTATGGACGCCACTTTCCGATGGCATTGTTTCATCGTCCGTGGAGACGTTCATTGTGTCCAGCCCATTTCCATTTCAGTTTTGCTGCTTGTTCTATCGCGTATACTGTCTTTGTTCTGGTCCTGATCCACTGGTTACGTTTTCTATCTCTAAGTGATACACCCAACATTTGTCTTTCCATCGCTCTTTGTGCCTTCCTTATCCTATCCAAATTGGCCTGTGTAAATGTCCATGTCTGTGCTCCGTAGGTGAGCACCGGTATTATACAGGAGTTATATACCTTGCTTCGTAAGTATAGAGGGATTGTTTGATTTTTTAGAACGTAAGAAAGTTTGCCGAACGCTGCCCATCCCATTCTTACTTATCTCGATATTTCGGCTGTTTGATTTTCTCTGTTAGCTCTGATTGGTTGTCCTAGATAGATATACTCATTTACCTGTTCTATTTTTTCTGTTTTTATTTTTATTGCCTCTTGGTCTTCCGTGTTTGTCATTACTTTTGTTTTGTTGAGGTTAATTTTTAGGCCTTTTTGCAGTGATTTTTCATGAAGTTCATTCAGCATTAATTCCAGTTCTTGTCGTTCCGAGGAGATCAGGAGTATATCATTCGCATATCTAAGGTGATTTAGGTATTTTCCGTTAATACATATTCCTCTGTTTTCCCAATCTGTTGATTTTATTATGTCAAGGTAAACAGTTTAGGTGAAATTATATCGCCTTGTCGGACTCCTCGTTTAACTTTTATATTATCCGTTATTAATTTGTCGTCCAGAATTACGGTCATGGTTGCGTTTTGGTAAATATCATGTATCAATTGTCGGTATCTTGAATCTATTCTACTATTGACCAGAGCTTCTTCAACCGCCCAGTGTTCAATGCTGTCGAAAGCCTTTTCATAATCTACGAATGCTAAGTACAGCGGAAGGTTGTATTCATTGGTTTTCTCAATTAAGATTTTAAGCGCATGTAGATGGTCGATTGTGCTGTATCCTTTCCTGAATCCGGCCTGTTCCACTGGTTGGTAGTTATCAAGTTTATAGGTTAGTCGGTTGTTTATTATTCTTGTGAAGGTTTTATATAGTTGTAACAAAAGGGAAATAGGACGGTAGTTGTTTAGGTCTGTTCGGTCTCCTTTCTTATGTATTAAGATTGTGTTGGCATTTCTCCATTGTTTAGGTATTTTACCTTCAAACAGACACTTGTTGAACAGTATTTTTAGCATTTTTTTATCGTGTCTCCTCCTTCTTTTAGCAGTTCCGCCAGTATTTTGTCCTCACCGGCCGCTTTATTTCTTTTCATGTCGTTTATGGATTTTTCGATTTCATCTTCAGTTATTTCTAGTAATACCTCTGAGCCAACATTTTGTATTTTCCTCGAGGGATTCTGTTTAGATGATAGTGGTGGGTCATTTTTAGAACTGTATAGGTCTGTGTAATATCTTTCTGTGATTTTTACTATTTCTCCTAGATCTCTTTCTTCATTGTTCTCAGCTTTAAGCATGATTAGTTTTCTTTTTCATATATTTGTCTTCATTGTTTTTAAACTTTTGTTCTTCTCTATGATTTTCTTAATGCGGTCTTCTTGGCATTTCTTTAAATCTTCCTTTATCTGTTTTCTTATGGTTCAGTTCGGTAAACTCCACTGTATTTCTTTTGTTATCATTCAGTAGTTGTCGTCGTTTTTTAGCATCTCTTGTGATTTAGCGCTAATTTTTTGTTGTTTTCGCTTTTGTTTATTAGCAATCTTCAGGTCTGCTTCTAGTAGTTCTGTTGTTATTTTATCGTTTAATTCGTCTAGTTGCAAACCCTTTAGCTGTGATATGTCACTTCTTTTTAGCTGGTTTATGTATTGTTCTTTGCGTTTTTTTAAGAAGTTCTGTATCTATCTCTTTTTTAGATGGTTTAAATTTTTGTCTGTCTGTTCTGGAGTTAATTTTGATTTTGGCTCTAACAATTCTGTGAACACTTCCTACGGAAGTCATGTTTATGACCGTAACGTCTTGTACTTTGTTCTTTTCTTTGGATAGGATGTAATCAATCTCATTTTTTGTTAAACCATTGGGCGCGACCCACGTCCATTTTCTCTGTGGTTTTTTATTGAAAAAGGTATTCATCGCACAAATTAACTTACAAAGTCTTAATTTTAATGTATACAAAGCAGTTCACACTATTTTGGATGCCTCTTCTGGCACTTGTCATATTAATATTATCGTCTTGTTATGTACATTCGTAACTGTCTTTTTGTTTTTTAGTTCAATAAACTTAGTTCTTTATCTTTGCTTTAATATGGCTTGCACTTAATATCTTTGCACTGTCCACTGTGTAACTGAATATATGAGAAAGATAATAATAGTGTTTGTTGTATTTTACTTTGTTGAATCATTCCAACAAATTCAGCACAGATTGCCGACATTAACTAATTATCCAATAATCTCTGGAACAGCTTATACTTCATGTTTTAACAGTAATACTTCTTTGCAAGAAATATTTAGACATTATAGGGTTAAGTGCATATGAAAAAAGATACATTGTCATAGCTACTTATTGGTACACATGAAGCACGTTGAAATATACTGTTACGATTTTAAATGTTATGGCATATAGAACTGTAAATATTTTATGACTAATTCTTTTTTATTGATTCTCGTAATTTGTAGGTCAAAATATACCTGAGCTTCGCTACCAGTTGTTTACAGAAATCTCTAGACACTAATTTTAGTGAGTCATCCACGTCTCGAGGTTGAAAAACGAGTCGAGCGCCTTCACCAAAATACGAGATCATTCCAGTATTTTCGACAATGGTCAGGTCAGGTCTAGGCGGTCTTACGGTTCTTTATATAAGGACGAAATTTTATTGAAGGGGTCAGTCATAAGAAGATCGGTAAACGCGGTTTACTTGTAACGAAACGTGAAATAAATACATTTGTAAAGTTATTTAATAAATTAGTAATTAGCTATCGTGAGTTTTAATAAATTAGATTATAGACAATAAATTAGAATAAAGACAAATAAATTCGAACTATATAAATATACAACAGTGGAGTCAGAAGTGGGATATTCAAATAAAAAAGCGGGATTTTAAATAAATCTAATTTGAATTTGAAATAAAAAGAAGTGAAATATGGCTACAATTAATGAGCTCACAGTTACGGATTTAAGAAGACATCTTGAAGACAGAGAATTAGCTTCTACTGGAAAAAAGGCTGAGTTAGTCCAACGACTAAAGAACGCTTTAAAAGAAGAATGTTTGGATCCGGAAACTCATATATTTGAAGACAAGCAGGTTGCTGTTGTCATCTCGTCGATTTCGAAATTAGAGAACAAGGTTTCCTGTGATATCGCTTCTTTAGAAAGCCAAGTTTCTAACGAGATTTCTTCTCTGGAAAGCAAGGTTTCTGCTAACATCTCTAAAGTCACCTCTGAGATGTCTGCCCTCGACGATAAAATGTCTTCATTAAAGAACCAAGTTGCTGCCGATATGTTGGCCTTCGAAGAGAAGATAAAAGAGATGGAAAAAAAGATGGAGGAAACAGGGACAGCAGAGAGAGAAAACAATCCAATTATAGCAGAGACAAAAGAAGAGGAGACGAAATGTAAGTTGGAAATACGGCCGAAATTTGAAGGAAGCGGGGGTTATGTTCATGTCAAAGTTCCAACTTTCGACGAAAAATCGTCATGGAACAACTACATGAAACAGTTCGAATCAGCTGCAAGAGCGAATGGATGGTCTGAAAAAGAAAAGGCTGTAAACCTGACTATCGCTCTTCGAGGAGATGCTTTGGATGTGCTTCAGACCATAGCCGTAGAGGAGACGGATGATTTCGAACAACTGAAGAAGAGGTTAAATATGCGATATGGCCACGAACACTTGGAACATGTATATCAGTCGCAGCTCAAAAATCGAAGACAAAAGAAAGATGAGGCTCTTCAAGAATATGAAGTAGATATCGCCAGATTAGTGCGATATGCTTATCCAACAGCTCCCGAAGACATGATGGAAAAGTTGGCCGTTCAAACGTTTATTGATGGTCTTCGTGATCATGAGATGCAAAGAACACTACGATTAGCTCGTCACAAGACGCTGATGGATGTCTTATCTGCCGCCCTCGAATACGAGTCAGCTACGCTAGCCTCTGGCGGGTACAGTAAAGTTAGAACTGTAAAAGAGGAAGGAGACGAAGATAAACTTGACCAGCTCTTTAATATGATAAAAAGCATGACACACAAGAAAACGAAGACCATAAGACCGAAGACAAAACCAGAACGCGTCGGCCTTAGGGGAGCAGCTTCGACCCAGAACTTTACCAAAGACCCTGTGATACTAATAGCTTCTTTGAAATGTCGTGAAGATAGTGTATATGTAGATGGAGAAATAAATGGTAAAAAGCATACGTTGTTGGTGGATACTGGAGCGACCAGAACCATTATACGCCCGACAGTTATAAACAGCCGAAAGAAACTGTTACCAACGAGGTTGCGACTTCGGACCGCCACAGGTGAAAATGCCAACATTCATGGAGAAATCCAGGTACAATTAGGAATTGGAGCAGAAAAGTTCGTCCATACTGTTATAGTTGCTGACATCGAAGAGGATGTTATATTGGGAATGGACGTAATGAATACGCATGGATTCCAATTGGATTTTAAGAATAAGGTAATCAAAGTTGGTAACGAGGAAGTATTTCTCCATCCACACGATGACAACACTATGCAAGCAGC